AAAATGTTGCAGTGATTTAAGGAAAAAACAACATGAATTGCCCATCCTTTCTGGTGGTGTTACCATGCACATGTGAGGGTACACTCACTGGCTAATGAGATGCAAAGAAATAGAAAATCTGAGTATATAAACATACATTTGTCCAGTAACCTTAATTGCTTTCAAGGCAAGGAAAGAACAAAATGAAAGCAACTGATGTAACATGATCAGGTATGTTTAAGTTAATTTTGCATTTGGAAAAGTAAATAACATCTTAATTATAATTAATTCTACTAAATTTCTATGTGTTGAAAGTTAGCTAATGAGCTATAATTGGTAAAGACAGGGATACACTGAATCAGAAGAGATGCCTATACAAACAAGTGCTATTTAGTCTTTTTGAAAATCTTTACCTGGGATCTAAAAAGGACAGCATATGAAATCACCAAATAATAGAAATCAAGGTACAGAATCACCGAAGAAATCATAACCTTACTAGAGAACAATTTTTAAAAAATGAGACCTTGTCTAATTTTAAGTCCTACAGTCTGTAATTTTAGAAAAGCGTTGACATCTGTTGGTGAACAGGGAGCTGAGCAGTGCAGAAATCCCTGGGAAATGCAGCCACAGAGCCCTTTTCCAGCCCTTTCCCAGTCTGGCGCTGGAAGGGTTGAGTCTCATCTGCATGCCTGCTGTGTAACAGCTCAGCTCACTCCCCTGTAAATGCTGCTCGGTTTTGAAGCAGGGGATGAGTGAACACCACTGCTTTAGGTTGAAAAGGAGCAGAAAACAGAGAGGTCTGATGGTCTCTGTGTGCGGGCCGTGCCAATCCACTGCAGTGCGCAGTGACGCCGTCATGAATATGGAAAAACAACAACTTTATCCCTCCCAAACCCAAAGGATGGCACGGAACTTGATTTGCTGTATCCTGTTGGGGGCAAGGAAAAGCAGGGATACTGGGACAGCTCAGTGAAGCTGAGACTGAAGAACAGGCAGGGCACAACTCAGGTGACAGGCAGCTTAATAATCTGTCACTGACATGTCACACAAAATACAAGTGTAGGGTCAGACTGATGAAGGTTTGTGCTCTATTGCGGACTTCAATGGCAGCACTGCTTATTGCAACAAAAAAATGTGCAATTCCATAAACTGGGCATTGCTTCCTCCTTATCATCATTATTTTTTATAATGCAGCAAGCAGAAATAATTAAAGCTGTCCCTGATCTATTATGTCACATTCTTTTCCAGCTCAGTATAAGTGTGACACACCAACAGATGAGTATCTGGGGTTTCCTTGAGATTTCGACAGTAACCAAACAATCCCTCAGAAGAAATATATGCCAAATTAAAAAAAAAAAAAAAAAAAAAAAAAAAGAACAAGTTTACTTAACCCTTTGTTACAGCCAATCAATGTTTTAAAGCCTTACTTCAAATAACATGGGTGCACAAATTATCACTGTTGCCCGTGGTGTAGGAGCTGTCTTACTCGTACTAGTTTCCCCAGGAAGGTCTTCACCACACTCAAGCCATGCTGGGTTGGATTTTGTGTTCCCTGGCAGCTGGCATCGGGGTGTCCCTGCTGATGTCTGGCTGTCTGTCCACCTGCCAGATGGTGGCCAGTGCCAGTCAGCACAGAGTGTGTGGCTTCTGCCTTTATTCCTTACACCCTGTGCTCAGCCCTTTCAAGCCAATCAAGCATGAACCCAGTGCTCTTGATGAGTGTGGTTTCAGTTCCTGTTCCAATCACAAAGTAATAACCAGGGTCATTCCTTTTTCGGTTACTCTGTTTGCTGTTATCTCAAAATGTCATCTTTGAGCTTGTGCAGACACGAATTCCTCACTTATTTCCCGGTTCTGGGAGTCTGCTGTGCCAGCACGATCAACACAGCTGGGCAAGTGAACTTCCAGGCCACAGCTTGTCACGGTGGGGCTTTGGTCAACCCACACAGCGCAGTGACTCCAGCCATGGCACGCCTGGGAAGCCAACCCTTGGAGAGCTCCTCCCTCCCTGATGGGCTTTAGGCCACCTTGAGTTCCACCCTTGCCTGTGCAGGACCTGTTGATAAAGCGATGTTTGAGCTGCGCTGCCCTATGCCATCTTCTGTGTTTTAAGTCTAAGCCTTGGTATCTTTAGCAAGTGTTTACATTAAAACTGTTCTTAAATCTAGCATGTTGCTGCCCAGCTTTAGGTTGGCTTCATGTCCTGGGAGGCTGTTCCAGACTCTTGCTGGCATTTGTTGTTTTTTCAGGACATTTTACTGCTTGAAATGTTCTCTGCTGCCTTAGGCAATCATCTCACTTGTCTTCCACTCTGCCTGAAAGCTATAGCCAAAATTTTCATTTTCTCTTCACCTACGCGTATCCACCAAGTTCTGAAATCTTTCCTTTGTGTCTGCAACGTACCTTCTGAGAACAGGCCTGACATGAGGAGCCTTTACAATGCTGTGGTACTATAAGCAAGCCTTAGAAGAGGCACAAAAAAGAGACTGTTCTGACCTGCCTTCCCTCCATCCACGCCCTACTGGAAGCATTATAGCATTGACATCACCCCAGACACTCACTGTTGTTTTGCTGCTGTCTCTGTCCCCTTTTCCATAAAGCCCTGCACATACAGCCCTCCAGGGAGGCCCTCAAACAGTATCTAAACAGTCTTTGAAAAGTTACTAAGAAACACAACTTGCAGTTCTTGGTTTAAATTACTTATGTAAGGGCTTGCACTGCTTTGTTGAAAACTAGGGGATGGCTGGAAATATGAGCTGTATAACATCTGTAAATGATGTCCACTAAAAGACCTCCTTTCCTTTCTACTACTCATCACTTTATCAAACTTGGTTCTAGCATGTTTGGCAGTTGTGGATAATTTGGCACCAATTACACATACTGCAATTTTCAAATGCTGGATTATGAAGTAGAAAACACGCAGCTGAAAAAGAACCAGCACCAAACAGAAACTTCATTGCCAAATGTAAGACAGAATGACCTGCAAAGATTTATTTTAAACCAACACATAGTTGGTTTATTATTAGAAGTGGATGAAAAAAAGACGTCAGATGAATTGAGAGCGTAGGAGAACTCGTGTGCTAATGCTGACTGGAGATTGTAAATTTAGCACCCTACAGACTCATCAGATGAAGAATTATCTCCTGTGTTTTTGCTGTGCCTCCCCCAACAAGACCTGCTAGACCTGCTGGACCAGAACCAACTCAGATGCTTCTCTCTGTGTTCCTCAGTGTATCAAGGTCCAGAGTCTATGCACAGAACCAGCTTTATACCTCCTACAGATCTAATCTGCAATCAAATAACTCATCCATGTTAAATTGCAAATTGTGAGCAGCTAGAAGTTTCTGGACCAAATGCACACAGAAACCACAATCCTCTCCTCTCCTTCTCTGCCTTCTCCCTTCTTACTCAGATCGAAAGTAAACTAAAGTGTATGTTTTCGTGGGGCTGAAAAGCATGTTCTTTCCCAGGGGAAACCTGGAGATTTTGCAGTTTACATCCAGCTGCCAGAGTAACTATAGATTCTTTTAGTCTCTTTTGCTATTCCTTTCCTTTGGAACCGGCAGAGCCCACCCACCTCAGGCTGCTGGGGTCGTTGTGCACCAGGCACAAACGCAGCATTACACGGGCACAGGGCAGCTCCGGTCAGGTCAGACGCAGCCTGTACCCTCCTCACAGAACAAGCTCCCAATCCAGGGATTTGCGTTGGAAGCGCCGCGAGGCGCCAATGCGGCTTGGAAAGGCAGCTCCGGGACACTGCCCGCCTGCGAGCCTCCTTTCCCCTTCAGTCAGCGCTTGTGCCACAGAAGGCTCAGGCACCGCGCCGCTCGGCAGGCTCCGAGCCGGCGGGCGCAGCAGCGGCGGCGGCGGGAGCGGAGCGGAGCGGCGGGCGGGGCTGCGCTGCGCCGGCCCCGCGCCCAGCACCCACCGGGAAAGCCCAGGGAGCGGGCGGGAAGGAAAGTTCAAGAACAGCCGGGAAAGGTGCCGCCCTATGCGAGGAGTGGGCAACGCTGCAGCTGCGTGGCCGGGGGGCGGGTGTTCAAGGCTTGCAGCTCATTTAACACTTCTGCTTTCCTTATTTATGGCGAAGGTGATGGATGCGGTTCTAGCCCGATTTTCTATTACTGGATTTTGCAAAAGATTTGACCGAATGTACCATACCATCCGGAGGGACGTATAGATGCTGAGTACTCCACAATTAGACTGGTCTGCTAATTCCTGCATATTCGTATTAATGTTCTTCATATTAAGAGGGAGCTCCTATTTCTATTTATGCATCCCTAAATACTCCACCAGCAGGTTGACGCACAAATCGGTGTTACTTTATCTGGATGGATACAGACGGGCAAGCCTCAGAGCTTACACTCTGCGTCCTAAGCATGTCGTTACCTTTCCTGGTCCTGGGTAACAAAGAACTTTTAAGCACACGGCTCCCAACGGGACCCCGATCAAGGGATGCCCGAGCTCCCCGGGCTCGCTGTCAGCACGCTGCTTCTGTGCCCACTTGTACCACCTTTCCCTGGACCACCTAGTACCATGTGGTGGGCAAAAAGAATATAAGCCATGCATCTGCACAGGGCTGCTAAAACTGAGGAGCCAGACGGGTTCCTTTTCTTTTCAGTGCAGCTTACAGTAAAGCTTCCCCAGGGCAGGACGCAGCAGCTCCTCCTCGCTGCCGGGCCGGGCTCCTGCATCACCAGCGAGAAGTGGGCGCACCTGCCCTGCCCTGCAAGCTCGGCGCTGTAAAAGCGCGCCCTCCCTCCTCTCATGAATAAGCTGCTCTTCTTTTTCCTCCTCCTCTTCTCCTTCGCCCCCGCCACCCCGGAGTATAACGCGGCCAGGCGGCTGCCTTACCCCCGCCGTCCTCTCCGCCCCCGGGGGCGATGCACACTTTCACCCCGGCCCCTGGCACGGCCGGGCGCTTTGCGGCAGCAGCTCTAGAAACTTCTCGGTCCCTCCCTCTCTCCTCCCCTTCCTCCTCCTCGCCGAGCAGGGGCCGGCGCTGCGGCGAGAGCAGCAGGGAAGGAGGCGTGCGGCGCCCGCCCCCAGCCGCGCTGCCCGGAGCCGGAGGCGCAGCCAGGCGCTCTCGCAGCCTCATCCCGGCGCTCACCGCAGCCCCGAGCCCGCCAGGCGGCCCTTCCCTGCGCAGAGGTGGCAGCGGCAGGCGGCATGACGGCGGAGGAGATGAAAGCGGACGGGGCTCCCCTGGAAGGGGTGGACATCACTCCCAAGCAGGATGAGGGCGTCCTCAAGGTACCGGGCGGCTGTTCCCCATCCCCACCCTCAGTTGGAGGGGTCCCCGCGCCGGCGGGGAGCGGGGGCATTCCTCTTAGCCTGCGAGCGGGTGCTCCCGGGGGCGCCCTGGCCCTACCGAGCCCATTGTGTGCCCAGCGGTGAAGGGGACGAGGCGGTCCCCGGGTATCCAGGCAGGGCTGGCGCAGAGCGGGCGATTAAACAACAGCGGCGGAGGGCGGGAGCGCGCCCCGGCCGCGCAAGCGCTGCCCGGCTGGCTGCGGGGGCTCCCCGCTCCTCCCGGCGGCTCCCCGCTGCGGGCCCCGGGCGGCGGAGCCCGGGCTGCCCGCCGGGAAGCGCTCGGGGTCGTGGGGGGCTGTGCAGCGAAAAGGCGCTTTCCCCTGCCTTTGGGCTTTCCTCCGCCGTTTAGGGGAAGATGCGGGAGGGGGAGGCGGGCCTGGCTCTCTGTCTTGGCTTGTGGGGGTCCGGGTCCATCCCCGCCCCCCCAGCACGTGTCCGGGGCCGGGAATTAAAGATGGAGCCCCGGCAGGGCACGTGCGCTCGGTGCCCGTCCCCGCCGTGCCCGGCCGTGCCTCCCCGCGGGCCCCGGGCGGCCCCGGGCCCGGGAGCGCGGTCCGGCGGCCGGAGCGGCCCGGCCTTCCCTCGGTGCCGCTGGGCCGGCGGCCGGGCAGGTCCCCGGCGCGGCCGAGGCGGAGCGGCTGCTCTCCTTTGTACTGGGAAGGCAGGCGATAAGGGCAGCGGGATTTATACCGTGAGGGGGAGTTGCGCGAACTTCCTCTGTCAGACGTTGCCTATTTCCATATCTCTAGAAACTTCCCTAGGCTCTGCTAAAAACTTCAGCGATTATTTAGAAGCGTTATTCAACCGCAGTAATATTTCGAAGTTACGGTGTTCGGGAGGAGAAAGGGATGCCACAGCAAAGGCAAAATTCTGGGTTTAACCTTTAGAGCCTTCTAAATTCTGAGTTCATTACGGAGGCGCTGTCTCCCGTTCAGGAGGGGTATCAGGGTTAAAGATGTTGGCTGCTATATTTCTGCTTTTCCATATTTCCTGATAGCGCGTTTAGGTGTGATTTTTTTGGGTTTTGCTCATAGTACAGTATCAGATCAGAGTTCTCATCTGCATGGCTGCCCAGGTCTCCCGCAGCCCAGATCCCTTGAGCGTGGTAGAAGGGCAGTGGGGTCTGCCTGATTCATGCAGTCCCTACTTTATGATGATGGAGAAGCAGTAGGTGTTTTTGGGATTGTTTTTTGTTTTTTTTTTTTTTGAGAGGAGTAGAAAACACTAACAAATGAAGTGAGTTTGTGAAAATCACAAATAAGATATCACAATAAGTAAAATACCAGAGAGGTCACAAAGTCCAGCCTTCATGGATTTTATTTTTATGTAATTGCTGGAGTGCAAAATGCATCTATTGAAATCAAGCATCTAGCTCTGAACTAACCTACACCGATTTTGTACTGGTATTGTTGCAGTGAATCCAGTAGCATGTTTATTTGCTCATTAGCTGTATATCAGAATAGTATCCACGGTTTTTTACCTGATATTGCTGCATATACTTGCACAATTCCTAGAATAAGCAATTAAGTTTGGAAGGAAACCATTAGAAATGCCATATGAACTGAAAAATCCTGTTTCTCCATCTGAAAAGGAAATGTAAACCTTACAGAAAATAGGATTGCCATATTCACAAGTGAAACTTCAGTCTCTTCAAAATGGAACAAATGCAAAAGAATAAACTGTATAGATAATGCAAATGAGATATTTGTTACTCTAGGATATCTTGCTATGGCACTACAAGAATATGTCATTTGATAAAGTTGTGTAAATTTCCATTAAATGCAGTTAGTTTTTCAAAATTACATCAGACTGGCTGCTTTAAAGTGCTAGTTTGCATCTGCAATTTGCAAATTGCATCTGCTCAGCATGATGTAGGTCAGGTTACTTACCTGATTCATGTGTTTTTCTCATACTTATATGTTTCCTAATCTCTGTGAAGAATGGTTGCTTGAACTTTTGCCTTCCTTGGGGAGACACCAACAGATTTGTTTTGTAACGCTAATAACTGGCCGTGGTGCTGGGGTAAAGGGAGGGTGTGCTGTGTGAGATCAGGCATCCCTTTTCATGTTGAGCATCCTTCCCTTAGAAAACAAGCAGCCAGGCTTTTTTCTAGGTTTGGTTTGTTTGTGGGGGTATTTTTTGTTCTATGCTTTCAGTGAGGTGCTTTCAGCTTGTTAGTCTGACAGAAGCTGTCGGTGGTGAAGCTTTGGTTTTGGATGGAGGGTCCTGGTGTGTCAGTTGGATAGTCAGTGGAAGGGATGGTGGGAGGCCAGGTGGGAGATTGGCAGTGGTGGGTTGCAGGAAACTGAAATTTCTGGAGGAGACTCCCAAAGGTCTGCATCCTTCAGTGAAAAACATGATTGATATAGAAACATGACATTTAAAGGAGGGATGCCCTGTAACTGCCCTTGAATAGATGTTTATCTTCTATAACAGAATGTTTTCCAGGTCTCCATGGTGCAAGCATATAGGGTTCTCCATTGGTCCCCTTTTGCCTGGCTAAGATAATGCAGAACTTTGGCTTAGGACTAGCTGGTTTCAGTCTGTATTGGGAAAAATTCAAAATTCAAATCTGAACCTCAGGAATCCTGTTATGGGCAAGGCCTCACATATCCTTGCCTGTGAGATATTGTCCCTATTTTTCTCTAATTTTATGTAAGCTTCAAATGAACACGAGAGAGATTGTCCCTGCTTTCTGAGTAGTGTAGATTCCTTTAATCCTTGTCTTGCTGGGCAGGCTGGGGAACCCCCTGAGAAGAAAATCAAATCCTTGCAGCTGTATGTGAGATGGGGGTGCTGGCCATCCGTGTCAGAATTGTGGGGAGACAAAATTCTTGCAATAAATAATTTTTAAGTGTTACACTGCAGGCTGATAGTACTGACCTGCTTGGGGTGAGACACCGCTAACCTTCGTTAAACTGCCTGGTTTGACTTGAATAATTTCAGATTACATGTTGGAATAGACTTTGCATGGAAAGAACCACCTCGTTCTCTTGTTTAAGTGCTTTGCTTAGATCACTGAACTCGGGTGTGATGATAGAGAGGTGATGCAGCAAGTGCTTGAATAAAGAAGAAAAAACCCTGCCTGATGCAGAGATCTGTAAGCTGGTGCCAACTGTTGCCTGTTAAATTCTTGTATCACAGCACAGCCATCTTGAGGTTCTGCATTTGCAGCACTGCTAATCTGCAGAAAGAACAGCCAGTCCATTTCCAGGTGACTGAAAGAAACCTGCAAATCCTTTGTCTGCTAAGGATGATAACACACATATCTGGGTATTTGTGATTCATGTCCAGTGGGCAGGCAGACTTGATTTCTGTGATGTTAATGCTAATTGCTGTTTTCCCCAGGTTGTCAAGAGAGAAGGCAGTGGGACAGAGTCTCCGATGATAGGCGATAAGGTGACTGTCCATTACACGGGCTGGCTTCTCGATGGCACAAAATTTGACTCCAGTCTGGACAGAAGAGACAAATTCTCATTTGACTTGGGGAAAGGTAATATTTTGTGTTTGGTGCTGATCAGTTTTGATAATAATTGAGACAGGATTTCATTGTGTGGCTCCTTTGCTTTTCAAAACTGCTGCTTGAATTTGTTTTCAGAGTTTATTCTCTTAGAATGGCCCCATCAGAACGTCTTGGAGATTTTTCTGAATGAGAGAACTGTGTAGCCCCTTAAAAGGCCCGCTGAAGAGTTCACAGGCCTCAGCAAAGCACTCCAGGGGAGCAAATCTGTCCTGAAATGTAGAGATGAAGGGCAGTTAAATAGCCGGAATATGCTTTTTTTTGGTTGGGGGTTTTTTTGGGGGGCAGCCCTCAGTTCAGGAGTGCTTAATTGTGACCAGATACTGGGACAGAGTACTCAGTGGTAGCTGTCTTATGATGAAACACACTCTCTTTTCCACAAAATTCTCAATTTAACACAAATAGGAGTCTTTGAGCAGTGCATCTCTTCATTATAAAAATCTTTCCTTTTTTGAAAATCTGAGCATCGTTGATCCTCAACGATGAGCAACGATATTACTCAATCTTGTATTCTTCCCTCGAGTTCCTTACCTTCTGCTTTTTAAAAAATAGATAATACCTGCTTTTTAAAAAGAGGTAAATTATTTGTACTGCCATTTGAGATGAGCACATCTATTAATACAAGACTAATAGAAAATCTACTTGATGGGTCAAAAGGAGCAGCAATTAGGGACGGCTTGAGTAGGAGAGGGGACTTTGTTACAGTTTTTCTTCCTTTTCAAAAGAAATGTTACTACTTTCTTCCCCCTTTCTGTTACAAATGTGTGTAACTTTTAGTTACCACTGGTGCTGTTCTTTTGCCAGCTGATAAAGTATGAACCGAAAAGGCTGTTGGTTTGGATTGTTTTCAAAACAGGAGCAGGCAATCTCTCACCCTAAGGCCTTCCTCTCGGAAGAGTTTAGTGTTACTTCCTCACACTTGAGACTGTGCCAAGCACTTCAGCTGGTGTCTGTGTTCTGTTATTCTATGAAAAGAGTTGTTACACCTGGAATGAAGAAATGTTTGGGCCAAATTTGGATCCCTGGGAAGCTTCAGAATTTGATTAGGCTTAAAACTGATGTACATAAGTGAGAGTGAATACAAGTATTTCTGCTGCCTTAGCTTTTGTATACTAGAAGTGATGATGCTCAGTTTCACCTGATCATGCCTTTCATGTGTGATTGGCATTTGACTTGTACAGGTGAGGTGATCAAAGCATGGGACATTGCTGTGGCCACTATGAAGATTGGTGAAATCTGTCGGATTACGTGTAAACCAGAATATGCCTATGGCTCAGCTGGGAGCCCCCCAAAGATACCTCCCAATGCTACACTGATCTTTGAGGTAAGTGAGAGATGGTCACTAAAACTATATGCTTGAAAATATGTGTGATGCAATATCTTTTCAGAACAGGATTGTACATTTTCTAAGGAAAATAATATGGTCCGTTTGGGTATTGTGGACAAAAGTTTAATCTGGCTGCCACTGCTCTGTAATGGCTCGGGTTCCGTTCTGAGTTTTTAGAACACTTGAATGATCTTCAGTGTTCAGTTGTAATTCTGCAGTTACAGAGTAATTTGCAGCAGTAAAGTGCAGGCTGGGAGGGCAAACTATTTCAGTGATAGACTGTAGTTGTTAAAATGAAATCTTTGATCCACTTCATAACACTCAAGTAATGTTATATTAAATGTTGTGAGGTTTTCAACAACAGGAAGAACAATTAATGCCCTCAATAATACATTTTTTATACTTGTGTTTTCTTTACAACATTAACATTACCTCTTATGAGGTGTTTCAGGGAGAGAAGAGTAATTGCCCCATGTAAACTGCTGGAATGCAATATTTGAACCGCCCTGCAATTATGAACTCTCTTCTATAGAACTGAGCGTTTCAGTCAGCCTCAAAGCACCATAAAACCAGTTTGGATTCAGGTTGCTGGTTCATTGCCAAAGTCTCTCTGTGCATCCAGGCTACACTGATCAGTCTTGCCCCCGTAGATGAAGTCCTGTGCACTCACTGAGTGCTTGCGACTGACTTGGCAGTCTTGAGTTTGGCAGCTGGGTAGCCCAGTTGGACAGCTCACGTGGCCAGCTGCTCTCCTGGAAATGAGCTGCATGGAGCCAGTTATCCTTGGTGGCTCTCAGCCTCACCAGGAGAGGAGAGATTTTATTTCCTACTGACCTTAAAAGTAATTTCCCCCCCACATCTTCCCCCTCCTTCCCCAAAGGGGGTGGAAACAGCAGCTGTCTCTTGTGTGTTATTTCAGAAGTGAGAATGGTTGCTTAGAATGCTGAGACTTGTATTTGATTTTTCCATGTAGGATGACATTAAAGCTGTTTCTGGAGCATACCCGGACAGTCTCAACAGGGTTTGGAGAGGATGGATTTTTCTTACTGTTGAAACAGTTCAATTTGCCAACAGTTGTTTCAAAATAAATTCTATCTGAGAAAAGCAGACTCTTTTCTTGAGTGCAATTTTTAAAATTACTTTGCTCTAAAGCACTTAATCATGGAATGGAATCCTACAATTGGGAGTATAAGGAAAGCTTTAAAAATGATGATTGCACTGAGATAGAATGTTTTATCTAATATCTGAGAAATGTGAAAATAGCTCATGGAGTTATTCAAAGACTGAAAGTCTGTTTAGATTTTATTGGAAACAACGAGCATCTGTTAAGAAGGGTAAATTACACATAGAGTTATTTAGGTTGGAGAAAACCATCAAGATCATTGAGTTCAATCATAAATCTGACACTGCCAAGTCCATCACTAAACCATTAACCCAACTCAGTACCACTTCTACACCTAAATACCTCCGGGGAGGGTGACTCACCCACTTCCCTGAGCAGCCTGTTCTAATGCTAATATACATTCTAAACCTCCCCTGGTGCACCTTGAGGCCATTTCTTCTCCTTCTGTGACTTGTTACTTGGAAGAAGGGACTGATCCCATCTGGCAACAGCCTCCTTTCAGGGAGTTGTAGAAAATGAGATGGTTCCCCCAAAACCCGTCTTTGTTTCCAGGTTAAACACCCCCAGCTCTCTCAAGCAGCTCCTCATGGGACTTGTGCTCCAGACCCTTCAGCAGCTCTGTTGCCCTTCTCTGGACACACTCCAGCACCTCAATGTCCTTCCTGAGCTGAAAGGGCCAAAACTGAACACAGGATTTGAGGTGTGGCCTCACCAGTACACTAGTACAGGGTGACAATCACTATCCTGATCCTGTCCACACCATTGCTGATACAGGCCAGGTGCCATTGGCCTTCACATAATTGGATATTGAATTTGCTTTGCATTTGGGTAGTGTATTTGCTTTTTTTTTTTCCATGGACTTGTGAGTAAAAGGATTAAAGATATGTTCTGTGTGGAAAGATTAAAAAAATATTGCTAGCAGGTAGTGTCCCCTAAGGGATGACAGCATTATTTCTGAAAAAGAATATCATGTAGAGCTGTTCGTAAACAGCATTTTCTTACATGGAAATCTGACATTATTCGTGGCTTAGTTGTATTGGATGAAACTACACATGCTGCAGTGCTGTGTGCTTCTGTGCAAGTGATGCCAGGTGTAATCAGGGCTCAGCTGATGATTGAAATGCAAGCTAAAAGCTCAAGGCCTTCTACCTAGGCAGCACAGTGGGGCATTCTTAAGGGCTTAGCACTACTACAGAGGATGCATGTGGATGCAGAAAGCAGAGGAGCTTTCATTGTCCTTCAACAAGAGGTAATACCTAACATTGGGATAAATAAAAGCATGAACCAACCGCAGGATGGGATTTGGTCCATCAGGCTACTCCTGAGTCCGTCCCATGCAGTCCCCCAGGTTATTCACTTCCCACTGGACTTCTCTTGATGCTGCCAGTCTGGCCCCTCCATTTTCTGGGTATGCTTTTAGATAAAAGTATTGCTTCATTCATGAGTCTTGATATCCCCTAATGCCTGCCTGAGTAGTTATGTTGAAGGGAAGAGGGGAGAAAGAAAAGGACCAAAGCTGCCCATGATGGTTTTGTGCTTCCCTAACAAAATAGCCTGGGGCTCACTGGTTGCAACAAGTCAGCAGTGCTGGGTGTGTCCTGACTGGGGGTGTGGGTTGGAACTTAGATCCAGAAAATTTTCCCGAGTTTATTAGGTTAAAGTAGTTTCTGGCTAGTATGACTCTCAAGCAGCTAAAGTCTTTAAGCTTCCACTCTTAGTTTTACCTAGGTTTATTTTTTATTACTTAACACAGTATCAGCAGGATTGTTTTGCAAGTGACTATCCCCATACCAAAATTTTGTACAAGTTGCTTTACAAAAGACCCTTTAGAACTTACATTAGGAGATTTTTGTACCTGTGTCATCACACCAGCGTTTATGACAAGAAGTAATGCATGTCCTCTCATTTGGAAGTTCTTTTCTTTTTTGATGTGGTGGTGGTTTTGTTTTTCCTTCTTTGTGATTACTTTTGCTGAGCAATATAAATAGCTAGATTATTCCATAGAATAGTATTGTTCAGGCTGGGGTAAAAAAACACCTGTATGGTCATCAGTAGGATGTTCAGGAATTACTTTTTTAAGACTGACTGAAAAGAAAGACCAGAATATTATTTGTTATTAGGTATCATTTAAAAAGTGGAAGTACTGGTGGATATTCAGTTCCTTCTGCATTCCAGTTATCTCAAGTCCAGTGTCAGGAACCTCCACATCATTAGCTCTGAACTTTTTTTTTTAAATGACGTAGTTTAAACAGTGCTGATTATAATGGCTTGCTTTTTGATGCTTGGGAATAGTTTTCACTATTGTTTTACTCAGAAATAGGATATGGTATTTTTTTTCTTCACTTCATAGCAGCAATGACAAATACCTTTTGTAACTAGACTGTTTTTCTATGTCATCGTGGTACTCCCACTTGAAACTATGTTTTACATTTACTTGGGAAGGCACCTGAGGATTCAGAGATTCAGACTGGATACCCATCTCTTACATTAACAGTAGCTCTTAAAAATCCTAAACAATTTGTTGCAGCAGCAGGTTTAAAGTTTCAAAGATCTCTGGAGAATAAATCCTGTGAGTTACTAAATTGGTCTAATAAGAATAAATGCAAGGCTTTTTTTCCCTCCACAGATAGAACTTTTTGAGTTCAAGGGGGAGGACCTCACTGATGAAGAAGACGGTGGCATCATCCGAAGAATCCGTAAAAAAGGGGAGGGTTACTCCAGGCCCAATGAGGATGCACTTGTAGAGAGTAAGTGTGTTGGTACACAAATAGTGAATGGATTTGCAGTGAGGGATGGCAGAACCTTTTCACCATCTACAACTGCATGTCCTGAGGGAGAGGAATACTTGGCTTCTCTTTTCTCTACCAAGTAATTTAACAGCCTAGAGTAAGCTTTCCTTCTCCTGTTTCTAGCAAGGTTTAAATTTTCCAGCAGCAACTGTGTTTTCTGGTGATACTGAATCTGTTGAAGTGCTTATCTGATGACAAAAGGTGATTGAGTCTCATAAAGTATTTCCATGTGCTGAGGAACAAAAGGGGAAGTCATTCTGGCACTTGTTGTCGGAGTGGAAAAAACAAACACTCAAATGAACAACAGAAAAAGAGGGGTTGTTAAATTGAACAGCAGAAATTCTGTCTGCTGCCAGTAGCTGCCACGCCACAGGTAGCTGCTAAAAGAGAAAAGACTGTTCAGAAGGAGGCTTTGGCACTTGTGTGTGTGCTGCCTGCCTGTGTAGAACTCCCTGTGCACTCCTGGGTACCTGCCCAGTGCCATACATAGATACCTCCTGATTTCTCTCTCTGTTGTCCTGGGTTTTGTTACCAGTCCAGTTTGAAGGCCGACATGGAGATCGTGTTTTTGACAAGCGGGAATTGCGGTTTGAGATTGGAGAAGGTGAAAACTTCGATATTCCTCATGGTCTGGAGAAAGCAATTCAAAAAATGGAGAAATCAGAGGAATCTGTGTTCTATCTCAAGCCCAGGTATGCTGTTTTTGGTGTTTGATACAGGAAGGGCTTATACTAATCATCTGTCAAGAAAGAAATACTCTGTTATAATGCCTTTCAGCTTTTTTCAGTGCTGTTGTAAAAACTTGGATCAGCCCCCGAAATTGATGTATGAGAAGTATTGTGCTTTGCCACTTCACAGTGGAGCAGTAGCAGTCCAGAAAAAATTACTTAAGTCTCTGTAATGTTGACCTCTGAATATTTTTGGAAAACATTGTTGCTCTCTAATTTGGATTTTTGTGATCCTTCTTCATGACTGATTACTGTAAAACAGTGCGTATGTAGACTTGGATATAGGCAGAATTTTCTCTTTACAGTGAGAAACTCTTTGCATCTGAAACAAGTGGAATTACACAGACTGTTTTCATCAAACTTTAATTTATTTCATTTTTTATTGAGTTTTTTTAAACGTAACTGAGCCTGATGGGAGCAGGAAAGGAAAGCAATGTGATCTAGAGGGTTTTCCTGCTAATGTGCAGCTCTTACTGGAGTTGCATTGCAGTACCTTTCTGTAAGCATTTCCTGTTTACCAGCTGGTTACCAGTGTGTTAAGTGTACAGCTGCTCACCTAATCTTGGTGTTTATTCTCTTTGCTTTTCTAAGAATAGAACTAAAGCACAGGTGCTCTGAATGCAACTTTCAGTTTCAGACCATGAATATTAAATATGATAGTTGTAATTTGGAAGCTGGTTGTTTTGGTTTGGCTTTTTTTTTTTTTTTGATGAAGGGATTACTTGCTTTTCCTTAAAGTAAACTAAAAAACTAATAAAATAATAGGAGCTGCTAAAAGATTAATGAAGTCAATACTATGTTTCTCTTACTTTCTTCTACCTTGTATTTGCTAATTTTAGAATTGTACCTAGAATTCTTCAAGCCTTTGCCTTGTAATAATAATCTATGCATCCCAAATTTGCATGGGGGTTTTTGTCTCCATCTTCCTATATAGCAAATACAGCTGGATGGATAGTTTTGAACACTATAATTTTTGTTTCTCCCTCCTCACCTCCATTTTACAGCTATGGTTTTGGAAGTGCTGGGAATGAGAAATTTAAGATCCCTCCAGATGCAGAGCTGCAGTATGAAGTGAAACTCAAAAGCTTTGAAAAGGTGAGAGCGAGAGATGAAATCCCAAAGAGATCCGGGGCTGGGGGAAGAAGTGGGAGTGCAGCTTAAACGATGACAATGGAATCCTTGGATGGCGATGTGAAACAGGCGGGCCACTGTTGCCAGAGATGATGGTGACATGCTGGGAGCTCTTGGCTGAAATGGTCCTTATTCTTCCTGAATCTCTGTCTGTTGCCATCTCTCGTGCTCTAGGCTGGTTTGTATTAGCAGTGCAAAGCTCTACTTTGCCAGACTTATCTCAACCATACTGTTGGTAGGAAACAGCATAGCTACTTGATTCCCTAGAAGTTGTATTGAAGTTGACTGGAACTGTTCCTGTTTGGGTAGGCTAAGGAGTCCTGGGAAATGAACACAGATGAGAAATTGGAACAGAGCAGCATTGTGAAGGAGAGAGGCACTCAGTACTTCAAGGTGAGTTACAGTCCCCAAGTAATAATAGCATTTCTTGGTCCATGCCGTGAGTTGATAATGATGTTTACAGCTTCTGTAATTTCTGAGTGGTGTTCATGGTATTCTGTGAGATTTTACAGGGAGAGCTGGAGGGGAATGTGTCTTAAAAAAAAAAAAGAAACTCTGCTGGATTATCCGAAGAACTAACTCTGCAGGGAGCTCTCTATTAGAGCTGTTTGCTGTATCTACAGATAACACTGTAGGGTATTTCAGTAGCTAAAGGAAGAGTTTCCTATTGTCTTTGTATTGCATTTTGAGAATTTCCCATCTTCCTTTATTTTTGCATCAAAAGTTGAATATAAAGGTAGGAGTTCAGTGAAGTATCAATGCTGGCATATACCCCTAGCTCTAGTGGGGAACCAGTTAATTATTCCTAAAGATTTTCTGATCCTGTGCAGGAATGGCTCTCAGTAGTATTTTTGATGATAGATGTTACTTTTTGATCAAATGGAAAGGTTTTTTTAGATGTATTGCTCACGACAGGCAAAAGGGAGAGGGAGATAAAGGTTCCTGTGATGAGCTGTGTGACAATTGAGCTGCCTTGTTTACAGGAGGGGAAATACAAGCGGGCAGCATTACAGTATAAGAAGATTGTGTCATGGCTGGAGCACGAGTTGGGACTCTCCGAGGAGGAGGAATCAAAAGCCAAAAGCCTGAGGCTTGCTGCCCATCTTAACTTAGCCATGTGCCATCTCAAGCTAAAGGAATACTCCCAGGCTTTGGAGAACTGCAACAAGGTAGTAGGAGTTTGTTTATTCTTAAGCTGCACAAGCAGATTGACATTTTGTCTTGCTTTAAACATTTTAGGGGCAACAGGCCAGTGTGATGTTTGGTCTTTCTTACCAGCTGTCATTTGGGTAGTATGGAATTTTTAGTGCACTAAAAATATCCAGCAGATTATTTTTATAATTAATGCCCTTTGAATATCTTTTACTAACTTGCTGCCACATTGAGAATATTCAAGTATTTAGGAATAAGGAACACTTGAGATGTGGTGAGGGTAGTCATGTTGGCAAAGGCCTTTCAAAGAGCAGGATTACTCCCTGACTAAATCTTAGACTTGCTGGTTCTCTTGTCAAATAGCCTACTATATTCATTCCTCTTTGTCCTTACTTCTGCTGTATTCCACTGACTTTCATTAGTAAGCCCTGACAAGACTCATAAGTCTACATCAGAAGGTACAGCTCCTAGCAGTCACTGGTGTTCTGACTGCATATCATTTTTATAAAAGAAAAATAATTACTGAGTGTGGTTTTGGTTTTTTTGAATGCAGGCCCTCGAATTGGATAGCAACAATGAGAAAGGCCTTTTCCGGCGTGGAGAAGCTCACTTGGCTGTCAATGACTTTGAGTTGGCCCGCGCAGATTTCCAGAAAGTGATACAACTTTATCCAAGTAACAAAGCTGCCAAAGTGCAACTGGTGACTTGTCAGCAAAAAATACGGGAGCAGCATGAGAAGGAGAAGAAGATGTACGCCAACATGTTCCAAAGGCTCGCAGACAAAGACTTAAAGGTAAGTAACGCTACTCCGAACATTACAGGAGGTGGTGTCATGTGTAAGACAAGGAACAGTGGTTTAGGTACTCACCTTGCTTCTTACTGCTGATAATTATGGCAGGAGAACACTCAAGTAGAACACCGCTTTGGGGAGCGGAGATGGATCTCAAAGTGCCAACAGTCCAAATTATTAGGCCATCTTGTTTGAACAGGAAAACCAGGAATACCAACGATGGCACAGAAAGCCTTTATCTGTTTCAACTGAATTTGCAACAGACCAGTGTTAATCAGAAGGCAGTTGAATTGATGAGATGCAAACATGACAGTGTTCTAGAAGTGGGAAAAGCACCTATTCCTCTAGAACCTGTTGCAAAGAGCAGGCTGTTCTGGTGCCTGGGGTGCCCATCTAGTGAGAGCTTGTGTCTGTCATACAGGGGGTGCTGAGCACCATCTTGCTTCTCATGGAGACATTAGGGTGTGGTTGATGGTCTCCATTACAAATATCACAGACTGATTATTCTGCTGTATGGATGGTTTTCCTAATAAGCTTTCATTAGAATTTTAGTAAATGCTAGTTCAGTTAATAATGCCAGTAAGCGAATACAGGTTCTAACAAGATTGTATTAGCTAGCAACAAACATTTCAGGTTCCTGGTGAGAATCACATATCCTAAGAAAATCTTCGGGTTCTTTTCCTTAAATCTGATGGTCTAGAGCGACAAGATGTAACTGTAACTTCTCAGACAAATCTGGGATTTATGTCAGACTCAAATTTCCTCAGTAACAGTGGGGAGTACAGAAGCTCATATCTTGTGAGGTTATTTTCACCTTTCCAGAATAAGCATGGAGAATCTTAAAAATTGCCAGATACTGGTACATTAATTTCCTTTGGTTAACTGTGTCATTGAGTATTTCCAGAGGCATGGTGTCCTCAGATGAGTGTATCCTGACAGTTCAGCCATTTCAGACTGTCAGCTGACAATTTCCTACATGAAATGCTTCACTCTGTCTCTTCTCTTTACGGCTAAACAGCCTGATGTCAATGGTCCTTGTGTATTGGAGCTTAAAAGAAAGTATTCTGTCCTTCTAGACACAGTGATGTAAAGTTACACAGTATCTTAATTTTGGTAGGCTTTAATAAAAAATCTCAGAAACATAAAGATACAGCAACTAAAGTAGAATTATTTTAGATGTTTAGAATTAATTTGTAGAATTATTTTAAGATGTTGGGCATCTTAACTTCTGAAATGGCAGGATTTAATTGCCAGCTGTCAGGCTCTGTTGTGAAGGATCCTTTCAGCTAGCACAGCTGCTGAGAATTTGGCTTCCTCCAGTAGGTGTGGGATACGGCAAGATGTGTTGAGATAGGAAGAGTGGATTGCTGAAACAAGCTATACCCACTAAAACTTCAAAAGCCTTGAGCTTTCTTCAACTCCTAAGACAGATAATTGGTAGAGTAATATTCTTGGCAAAAGGCAGACTTGTAGTCTTTGCACTGGAGACTGTTTGGGATCTTGGAAAAACATGGCACTTAGTCCCAATTTCCTTATCTGCTTGGGATAGAATCAGTTTAAAGTTGTAGAATCCTTTAGGTTGGACTCCAACCAAATGTAAATGAAAAGTTATTGTTTGGCATATAACACTGGACACAGGAGATTTATAACACTGGACACAGGATTTGAGGTGTGGCCTCACCATTGCCAAGTACAGGAGGACAATCCCTGCCCTGATCCTGCTGGACAGATACAGGTCTGGATGCCACTGGCCTGGTGAATTCTTCCTAGCAAGTTAGATGATCTTGGAATGTGCAATGTACTGTTTCTGTTTTGTTTTTTTTTTTTTTTCTGTGAGTCATCTGGCCTGCCTTAAGTGGATATGGTTTTATATGAAATGGGATTGATGGAACTATAAACTGTAAAGGATGCTTACTCCCTAGGCCAGTCTTGAGGTAGTTTTCTTGCAAGAAAAGCTTGTTTTCGTCTTCCTGCATTTATAGGGTTGCTTTACCCTAGCTCCAGCAGTGTCTGTTAGTGGTGGTGTAGTAGAAGTTCAAAGTTCTGGAGAGGAGAGTTTGTTTACTAAATGTCTTCTGATTGCTAAGAAGATAGCTTGAACTGCAGTTCTGATGTTCCTGACACAGTCCATTAAATTCAACAGCCACTCTTGCATCAGTAGTTCCTTTCATGAATTTGAAAAGTTCACATATGTAAAGTGTGAATTTTTGAAGGTCAGGGTGTTTATCACCTTATCTTAAGCCCAGGATTGGTAGCTAACAGATTTTCTGTGGAGAGAAGACTTAACTCTTGTGTGCTTTGTGGAATGCTTGCAAGGATGAAAAATTGACCTTTGATACATGAATGTGGTTTTGTGTTGCAGCCAAGTTGGTGTAAGATTTTAAGGATTCTGCCTGTCCCCCCCCCCCCCCCCCCCCCCCCCCCCCCCCCATTCTGCTCTTCCAGCATTGTATGCTTAAGACTTTGCTTGGTTTTGTTTGGTTCTCATCTAAGATCATCATAAAACAGCTGGCTCAAGATGCTGGGCTGACAGGTGGAATAGCAATTCTATTGCACTAGGTTTTGAGATGAGCAAGCCAAGACATTTTTACCTCCCCTTACTGTGCTTGAAAATTATTGCGAGGTCAGGATGTGCTGGTTATGTCCTATTGTAAAGCTGACCTTGGGGCCCTACCTCATGGCTCTGCCTTCCGCACCTTTTTATGAGGAAGATGCACAAGGAGAGGGCTTTAGAGCAGCCACATTCAGATCATATTTTCTTCCAGTCAGGCTCTTGCACAGGACATCCAAATCACTGTTGCTGAGTTTGAAGTGTCCCTTCACAAAACTGGTTGTCTAACAAAGATACTTCGTATACTGAGTGCAGGTGTGCCTCATACAAGTTGGGTCAGGGTAGGCCGTGGGAATGGCTGAAAATTGATGACATTAATATTGAAGCAGGGCAAAAGCAGTTCCTGCAGAAGCTTCATAAATGAATTTCAGTTAAAAGACTTCTAAGGAGTTGTGTGGCAAGTGGGTGCCGGCCACATTAAGAATCATAACCACCTAATACCAGTATTATATTTTGGCCTCCTCTACACTGCTTCTGGTTTCTCAGATGCATGAAAATTTTTGGTGTCTTTTGGCTGAAGATCCTAATATCTTAATTCAGTCTGGCAGAGTAGACAAGCTTTCTAAGTAATAAGAATCAAACAGTGTTTGTGCTAGCAATTTTGTATAATGTATTAATATATTTTCTTTGTCTCTCTATTTAGTCATCTGCTACTCTTCAGACAAGCCACACTGAAGATGCAGAAATGAAAGATGCGCAGAATGGAGTTGAAGATAAATCAGAAGTTGAAGCAGAAGCATAAGAAAACCCCTATTCCATTAGTTTTGTAAATGAAAGAATTTCCAGTGAATTAGACCTTTATTTTTCTACCTGGTTGGATAGTGGCTTCAAGGGAGCAGAGGCTGAAGCCACCATGCCACAGTCAGTTACAGCTTTATGTGGCTGTTCAAGAAGCTGAGTGGCAGCATAAATCTGGTTTAATCCTAGTGACTTTATTTATTCATTCAGCCTCTGTTACTGTTTGGGTTTTGTCTGGATTTGCTCTGCTTGGTTTATTTGCATTTTCATAGAATCATAGAATGGCTTGAGTTGGAAGGGACCTCAAAGATCTAGTTCTAACCCCCCCCTGCCATGGACAGGGACACCCTTCACTAGACCAGGTTGCTCAGAGCTCCATCCACCCTGGTCTTGGATACTTCCAGGCATGGAGCATCTACAGCTTCTCTGGGCAGCCTGTTCCAGTGCCTGAACACCCTCAGAGTAAAGAATTTCTTCCTAATACCTAATCTTAACCTGCCCTCTTTCAGTCTGAAGCCATTCCCCTTGTGCTGTCACTACTTGCCCTTGTAAATAGTCTCTCTCCATGTTTCTTGTAGGCTCCCTATAAGGTACTGGAACGCCACAGTTTGGTCACCCCAAAGCCTTCCTTTTTCCAGGCTGAACAATTCCAGTTCTCTCTTGTCTCATAAGGAGAGGTGCTTCATCCCTCTAATCATCTTGGTGGGCCTCCTGTGGACTTGCTCCGAAAGGTGCATGTCCTTCCTGTGCTGGGGACCCCAGGGGTGGATGCAGTGTTCCAGGTGGGATCTCAGCAGAGTACAGGGTTAAAATCCCCTGCCTCCCCTGCTGCCCACACTGCTTTGGATGCAGCCCAGGTTACAACTGGCCTTCTGGGCTGTCAGTGCACATTGCCAGCTCATGTCCAGCCTCATCCAACAGCACCCCCATATCCTTCTTGGCAGGGCTGCTCTGGAAATGTTCATCCCCCAGCCTTTATTGATACCAGGGGTTGCCCAGCCCAGGTGCAGCACCTTGCACTTGACCTTATTGAAGCCTCATGTGTTTCACAGGGGCCCACTTCTCAGGCTTGTCCAGGTCGCTGTGGGTGCCATCCTGTCCTTCAGGTGTGTCAAGGGGACTGCTCAGCTTGGTGTCATCTGCAGATTTGCTGAGGGTGCACTCTACCCCTTCATCCACGTCATTAACGAAGATGATAGTAACACCGGTCCCAGTATGGACCCCTGAGGGACACACCTGTCACTGGTGTCCCTTGGGATGCTGAGCTGTTGACCAGTCCAGGTCGCTGTGGGTGCCATCCTGTCCTTCAGGTGTGTCAAGGGGACTGCTCAGCTTGGTGTCATCTGCAGATTTGCTGAGGGTGCACTCTACCCCTTCATCCACGTCATTAACGAAGATGATAGTAACACCGGTCCCAGTATGGACCCCTGAGGGACACACCTGTCACTGGTGTCCCTTGGGATGCTGAGCTGTTGACCACTAGCCTGTAGATGTGGCCGTGCAACCAATTTCTTACCCATCAAACAGTCCACCCACTGCATCCATCTCTGTCCAATGCAGAGAGAAGGATGTTGTGGGGAACTGTGTCTAAGGCAGAAAATTACAGGAATGAAGGTAAATGACACCTGTAGCCCTTCCCTTGTTCACTGGTGGAGTCACTCCATCATTGAAGGCCACTAGGCTGCTCAGATGGGACTTGCCCTTGGTGAAGCCGTGCTGGCTGTCCCTGGTCACCTCCCTGTCCTCCATGTGCCTTAGCATAGCATCCAGGAGGATCTGTTCCGTGATCTTCCCGGGCACAGAGCTGAGGTTGACAGGTGGGTAGTCCCCGTGTTGTCATCGGCATTTTTCTTTCTGGTTCCAGCTTACTTTAATCCCAGGTTCTGCTTTCTAAATTTATTTCCTTGATTTGCTTCAAGTAATCAGCTTTTTTCAGGAGTCCTCATGCGAGACTTAAGAACAAATCGGCGCTCCCAGTTCTTCTGCCTTGGGATTGCCCTCTTTCCCCCTGTTCAGTAGGGAGTCCCTTCCATTAAGTATTGTAGCCTTTCTTGTATGCCTCCTCTTTGCAAATTGCTGAAGATGAAGACTATGAAGTCATAGCTTAAGTAATAAAGCTCCAATTAAACTCAAGAAAACTGAACTTTTCGTGGGTTTTTATTGGAATTTGCACAGAATCGAGAGAATATACTGTCCTTTGATCACTGTTTTCTTGTCCACAGAGCCAGTGTCCTGATTATTTTTCTGTGTTGTTTGTTCATTACCATAGAAAATTCCCACAATATTTGATACAGTATTTACCCATATATTTGCGAAAGGGAAAAATTATGTTGCTGGACACTGTGCATAAAGCAACTCTGTAACCTATGCATACAGGTTGTTCTATGTTCATATTGCTACCTTCCTCTTCACCCCACTACATTGTGAAACTGGACCAGAGGAAAAAAAAAACCAAACCAGTGTATCTGAAAGTGGCTGGCTTTGAAGTGAAAGTAAGGGATAAAGCTTACATATTGCAAATACTTTAAATGAACTACAAACTCCTCAGTGATTCTAATGTCTGCTTACCCAGATCTCACAAGAAAGCTATTACTAAGTATTCTGCTTCTTTCTGCAGTTTGTGTGTCTTGTTTGGGGGTGGGTGTGCTTTTGAATTTTGTGGGGGCTTTTGGTTGGGGTGAGCTTTTTTTGTCTGAAGGCATGGAACATAGTACTCAAATTCAAGTGTTTATCCTATCACGTGGTGTTAAATTTGCATCTCCAGTGTCCTGTTTAGAGACAGGGGCAGAAGGGGCAATTTTTTTGCCTGCTCTGCAGAAGAAAGGTAGAAAATCTGTTTCTCTCAGATTAAAATAAATGGAGTTTTTTTATGGTGAGAAAGATGTCTTTGCATGGCATGCCATGGGCTGGAATTTGTGTGTGTATTGCAGAGAGTATCCCTGTTTAAACATGTAATACGATGTGAATTCCTGGTCTCCTTTGCTGAAACAGAAATACTGTGTAAGCACTTAAACTCGTGGGGCCTGGGGGGGAGTGCCAGTACCCGTCCTGCAGCAGTGCCTGCCCGGCTTGGGCCCTGGAGCTGTCACCAAGCAAGGGCTGCTTGGAGTGCTGTCCTGTCCCTGGGCCCCGGACACCAAATTCAGCACCTGCTGCTGGGCTGGAGCTTGGTTAGAGAGCTGGGAGCTGCAGTGCTCTGACTCTCATGGGCTGGGTGGGATAGGACAGAGGCAAGAGAGGTGCGCTTCACTTAAGGAAATGCTGATTTCATTTGCCTAATAAAGCCTTAGGGTTGCCAGGTAATGGGGGTGATTTTCATGAGCTCTGACTGTAGTAACAGCCCCGTGTATGTGAAAAACTTATACCAAAGCACTACCCCCTCTTGTGGGAAACAACACTGTGAGTGTCAACTGGGGTTAGAAGAAAGGATTTCTAGACCTAGAAAACCAGTTAAAGGGGACAGGAATGCCAAGCCAGAGTACTTATTCAGCTAGGAAATACCTTGATTTGTTGCTAATTATTCCTGGAAATACAAGCCTCTGTGGCTTAAACTGGTTTTGCTGCTAAAGCGTAGGGCCAAGTCCTAATGATAAATTTCTAATTGTTGAACAGCAGTTATCAAAAATCTCCTACAGGCATGATAGTTGTACATGTTTCTGAAAGCAAAAAGTGATTTCTGTGGCACATCTATAAAAAAATCTAGTCAATGGTGCATCTGTTGTTAAGTGTGAGCAGTCTTGAAAGTACCACTGTGCCCTTGTTGTTACTACATAAACTATGAAATGTTTGAGAGTGTAAATCTGTTTAGGACACTAAACATGCCCTGTCCAGGCAGCTGAACAGATGTTCCGCGCTGTCTCCAGAAGTGGGTCTGGTTGCCGGCAGAAGGTGGTGGCAATGCTGGTATTTGTGAGTGAGGTCATGCATGTAAACTTCAACTATAAACTTCGTTATGTATGTCCTTATAGAGGAAAAAAAAGAAAAAAAAAAAAAAAAAAAGAAAATAATGCTTAAAATAAACAGTTACAGTCCTGACTTTGTAAACCGCACCCGCTGTCTCTGCGTGTGTAAATCCTTTCCGGTGTCGGCGTCGCTGTGAGGGGCAGCGGGCGGGCCCCGCCCCGCGCTCCCGCCATGCCCGGCGCGGCCGCCATGCGCTCCGTCAGCTACGTGCAGTGTGTGGCGCTGGACTTCGCGGGCAGCCTCTTCCCGCACGCCATCTGCCTGGGGGACGCCGACAACGACACGGTCCGAGCCCGGAGACCGGCGTGGGGCGGGCGGGGCCGGCTGGGGAGCCCCCGGGCCGCCTCGGAGACGGGGCTGGGGGGAGCACCGAGCGGCTGGTGCGGGTGCAGGGAGGGGATGGCGGGGATTCCAGCCTGGGGCTTGGCGGGCGCCTGGTCAGAACCCCCAGGAGTTCCCCTGCAAAGGGAATGTTTGCTGGGCTGCAGCGGGTCAGGGCTTGGGAGCTTAACTTCTGCTTAATAGGCAGTCCCCTGTCACAGATGGGTGGGGGGGTGGTGGTGCTCTGCTGGGCACAGCAGGTCACAAACAGGGTGGAGCCGCGTCTCGGGGTCTCTCGAGCCGTGTGGTGGATGGATGTGCATTGGGAGTGTTGCTGTCAGCCCCTGAAATGGCTGGTTTGGATTTGGCTGTAACTAGGAAGAGGTTAGCTTAGCCAGCCATATGTCAGCTGTTTCTCCTCAACAGTCAAGGTGTTTTACAGCCTTATCCTGGAAAATGTCATGGCTGGCAATCCAGTCGATGGTTAAAGAGATTTCCCCATAAAAAGTTGTTCTGTAAAGTAAGGTGTGCAGGGGGTTATGAAATGCACACCATTTAAATACACAGAAGCATGATGCAGGAGATGGATAATGGGAGTAGGCTCATCACTATGGGTGGTTGGTGATTTTTAGAAATCTCCTTTAAAGAAATAATCACCATTCTGAAATCCCTTTACCCCTTCAGCAGTGAGATTGAACATCCTGTGTAAATCTGTTGTAAGTGTTCTTGCACTCTCTTCCTGGTGGTTGTATTTTTGTCATTGCCATCATCTTCCTTAGGTGATTCAAGTCAGTCTAGATTGAAGGATGGAAGATGGAGTAATGATGATTGTTTTAACATCCAACCATGGTGTTAAAACAGTCAGTGACACAGCTCTGAAACAATGAGTGGAGAAGCAGTGGGTAATGGGATGTTGCTGTAAGGAGCCGTTCCCCATCTCTTTTATCTGCAAGAATAAAATTAGGGCTTTTATATTTTCCCAAACCTTCCATTTTGATTCAAGATTGTCTCTTTAACTCATTTAGTTTTGCTGCTTCTTCCTACAGAGTGATTTTCAGAGATGAATTCTGAAATTTTTGCTGTTAATGTAATTGTGGATTTCTCCCTACTAACCCAATTTTCTTGTACAGCTGAATGAACTCGTGGTGGGAGACACCAATGGAAAGCTCTATGTTTACAAGAACGATGATAGCAAGCCCTGGGCTGTGCGATCTTGCCAAGGAATGGTCAGTTCTTGACAAATCTTCTAAATGGTTGGGCCTTCTGGTGTATGTGCAGCCAGCTATCCTTGTCCTTTGACTAGGAATATGTAGGCTGGAGAGGAATGGCAGCCAGAACTGATTCTGATGTCTTTCATGTAATTATTCAAGACCCCACTTTTGCCTACAGCCTGGCCAGTTGTGTTTCTGTCCTTTGACTGCTGTCCTTGTCCTTCAAAAGGTTGTTAGGAGTTCAGGAGATTCTTTATGGGAGAGGAGGGGGTAGGGCAGAGGTGTGTCCCAGGGTGCTGGGTTGGGTGCCTTTTCTCATGGATGACCTTGTTTTCTTTTGCAGCTCACGTGTGTCCGTGTGGGAGATGTGTGCAATAAAGGAAAGGTGAGAGGAGCCGAACTCTGCCCAGCTCTGTCTGTAGGGCATGTGGGAGGTGTTCAGGAGATTAGGGTCATGCCATGTGCTGAGTGTGACAGAGGAGGACAGATTGCAAGTGTTGTCTCTCCAGGGTTTGCCTTTGCTGTTTTTAAACTGTTCCTCTGTTTATATATAACTGGTATTTTTCTGTGAGCCTTACACGGGTTTTAGAGAGCAAGAAAATCCATCCTATATTCAGAGAGCAGTTTTGATTTCCCTGTGCCCTTGTGAGAGCACCACAAGGCTTTGGTGGTTTGAGGGTTGCTCCTTTTGCTCACTGGCTTTTGCCTTTCTTGGGCTGATGTCTGCTGTGGGCTGTGGTCCTTCTGCCACTTGGCTTTGTGCAGTTAAGGTCATCTAAACAAGACTGAGACATGGAATAGTCTGGACTCCCAAGCAAATTCCACTGGGTCTACTATGACTCCTTTTGTTGGATTGCTGTTTCTGGGGGTTCAGCCAGCACCAATGAGCCCAAAGGTCCCAGTTCAGGCACCCTGCCCGAAATACTGTAGCTGTGTTTCCTCTAGTGGGGAGCAGAGCTGATGTGGGCATTGAGAAAGCCACATGTTGTTTGAGGATTGCACACATATCCACTTGATACTGTAGTGTGACAAAGATGAACAAGAAGTTTGGTTCTTGCCAGTAGCAGAGAAGTTCGTGTGCTGACCAAAAACCTCCTGTTCTGTAGCAGTCACTGATCATTTTTGATCTACCCTTGTGTCTTCCTTTGCCCTGCTGTGGGGCAGCTTCTGCAGTTTCTAAAAGAGGAGGAAGAATTACAAGGTTTTTCTTTTCCCTCACAGAATTTCGTGGTGGCGGTGAGTGCAGAAGGCTGGTTTCATCTGTTTGACCTGACTTCTCTGAATTCAAAGCACCCAGATGCTTCAGGCCACCATGAGTTGGCAGGGGCAGAAGAGCAGAAGCCAGTGTTCAAGCAGCACATTCCTGCCAACACCAAGGTCATGCTCATCAATGACATTGGTGAGCCACAGAGCTGGTGTGGCAATGCAGGGTGAAGGGGTTTGTGTGTGAGCTAGTGGGAGAGAAGGTTGGGGGGGCATGCAGCAGGAAATTACTGTCTTGCTGGAACTGACACTCCAACAAACCACAGCAAAGTCATGGAAGGGAGAAACAAGAACTTCAGAATTTTTCTGAAGTGCAAGCTTTCATTACATGGTTATGGTCCCCAGGGATGCTAACTATAGAAACCAGCAGAGTGGTTTCTGCATTTTTGGGCTCTTAGGGCTTGAGAGAGTCCAGCTGTCTTTTGCTCTTCTCTGCAGATGGAGATGGGAAGTGTGAGTTGGTTGTGGGCTACACTGACAGGGTGGTCCGTGCCTTCCGCTGGGAGGACTCATCAGAGAATCCAGACCATGTCTCCGGGCAGTTGATCCTGTTGAAGAAATGGCTTCTAGAAGGTCAGGTAAGGAAAAAGGATGTTCAGAGCAGTACTTGTCATACAGTCTTCAAGAGGTGGCTTTTTCAAGAGAAGAAGCACAGAATCTCAGTCCTATGAACAGAACAATTGTCATGTTGATGGTTTGAGAGGAGATTTGCCCTTAGATTTTTTTGTACAGCTGGTAGTTGGTCTGAGAAGCAGTTTCTTTTGCCTGATGGGAGAGCATTAGTGGGAAGTACCAGTGTTGTTTTAAAGTGGCTTTTGGTAAGGAACCAATCTTTTACTGAACTTGGGTGTTTTGCTTCCAGCTGAATTTGCTCAGCTGCTGCTCAGCTCTATCAGAAGATTTGCCACATTCAAATGTAGTTGCAGGGAGCACTGTAAACCTTTTGGAGTTCTTGACTCTATCCGTGTTTTTCCTCTGCTGCTGTAGGTGGACAGCCTGTCTGTGAACCCAGGCCCTGATGGCTCACCAGAGCTGATGGTGTCACAGCCAGGCTGTGGCTATGCCATCCTGCTGTGCACCTGGGACACGGAGCAGCGGGACGCGGCCGCGGGAAGGGACGGACCTGCCCCGAGCAGGTGAGGCTGTTCCTGCAGGGGTACATGAGCACATGCCACTGCAGATGCCTGTTACAGGGGTGTCAC